TATATTGAAAAATTAACTCAAATTAGATATATTTTCTAGGAAAGAAATTGATCCACAAATAATATGGTTAAGAGTTATCGAATGGGGAGTGCAAGGTCTTTACGTGAATTAGACTTAGCACTTTGATTTGAAAGATTTTGTGTTTTTTTATATTCTTTTGCATTTAAATTAGTAGTTTTAAGTTCAATAATTTAGCTTAATTTTATATTTAGTTCATAATAAAAAATATGATTCAGTATTTAGAATGATAAACTTGTGTGATTTGTACATACTACTACTAGTACCAGCACCACATAAGAATTTTATATTTTTCCTCCTTATTATCTTTACTTTCAAGTAAGACCCACTCTTCTGTTGTTGTTGCTTTAGAATTAAAACAGTCTGATATATATAAAGCTTATTCTGATATTTTACAAATAGTTTAAAACTCAGTGTACAAGTGACAACAATAAAACCCATATGTTGGTTGTGAAACAGACTAAACACATTTGTCTCAGTAATACAGGGGAAGCTATGACATTCTAACAGTTGGTGTGTCAATAAACTGAAGAACTTAAGTTTCGAATTCCAACATAAATCTTGCCTATAATGAGAGGAATGTGACCAGGACTAATTCTTTAAGTGTTGTAAAGTAATTTTCTTTGTAATTTATGGTGTTTGTTTCCTTTGGTAATCTCTTCTAACAGGATGTATCAAGTAACTAGAGTCAGGTGGTGTTATTTAAACCACCTGTACTGTAAACTATTACATACATTCACTAGTAGTGGCAATTAGTTTTGTCTGTGTAGTGAAACAACGTATAAGGACATATGTTGAAATAAACTTATTTGAAAGTTCAAAGAAATGATATTCAAGTACCATTTCCTAATGGAATTTTCCAAGATATTTATTAAAGATCATAATTCCAAAAAACTAAGCTGAAAGATGAGCCAATAAAATACTTGAAAAGTGAGTGTCCTCCTTTTAAACACGTTTAAAATTCCATGTTGTTCCCTCTAGTTTACAAAAAATTTCCTCACAACAGTTGATTCATCTTAAGTCTAAAATGTAGAAAAGTGATTTAAAATTTGCAGGAGAAATTAATAATTAACCTAAGATTGTTTCACTGAGAAATTTAGAAGGCATCCACTAATTTACCAGACTGTATTGTAGTATGCACATGATATAATCAGTTTAAAACTATATTAAAATGTCAACCAATTTCCAATATTGCAGTGGTGTTAAACAATTAAGTTGGTGAAACAGTAAGGCTTTTTAAACTTGACAAAAGTGAATAAAATCATGCTTAAAAATAGATTTTAAATCAAGTGAGAGACAAAACAATCAATCAATTTACTGTCCATCACAAGTCACTATTCAGGAGACCTTGTGCTGAACACTATAAGTTGGTTAGGACAGCATAACTGTTTGAATCAGTTGTAATGGTGATAACTTTTTCATGGGGTATGCAAAAATTTAAGTAAAAACAGATGTATACTGTTACAAGCTTTAAGCTATTTAGGATAAATGAATTAGTTTCTTGTTCCAGTTTGAAGTCATTCTAGAAAGAAAAAAGGGTAATTTAGACTTACTTCCTATTTTTTATAGTGGTTATGAGGTCAGTCAAATTGACAAACCTTGTATAGAGTTAGAGTAGAGAAAATGTAAAGTTTTACTGAAAAAAACATTTGAAATGTATTTAGGAGGTTTTAGAGATTATGCAAATGAAATCTGACAGTTTCCAGATAAAGAAAATGTATTTAATATTAACATAAAAACCACTTTGCACTTGGAGCAATCAACACTTTGACTCCATATATTCATGGAGAAATTTTATTCTACAAAAAACTTTTGACATGTACTGAAAGCTTACAAAGTTTCATGAATATACACAAAACATACTAAAAGTTATACTATGGAAGCTGTAAAGGTCCATTGGGGTCAAGATTTGAGTTGAATCGACCAAGCCATTTAGGGAGAGAGTTAAACTGATATCAACTTGAGAATGTTTTCCAATAAATAAGTTATAATTATCTATTTAGTAATAAAGTTTTTTCTATTGATGCTAAGTAAAAATTGTGCCCGGGGAATTAATTCAATATCTTATTACATGGTATTTTCCTATTTCGAAAAATACTTAGTATCTTGATAATTGAAAGAAAATATCCATAACAAATTAAACTCTTTAAAAAATTATAACCAATTCCATTTTTCAAAAGTTAATTAACACTTTAATATTTTCAATTATCACCATACAAAATCATTAAATACAAGTGTCAACTGAGTAGTTATTTTTTCTAAATTCATTTATTTGTGTCTTTTAAAAAAAAAAGCTACAGTTTACATTGGGAGTTATATATACATTATTTATCATTAGGACTATGAAAAATACTCTGTTATTAATCTTTGGTCATAACAAATTATCATGAATTTTTCTCTTGGACTAAATTTTATGTGCAGAAAAACAGTCTTTTAATACTTATATTATGTGGTCTGGACAGAACTTGAATATGAAAATGTCCATAATATCCAGAGATCTAGTTACTGATATTTTTTCTTTTTAAATTAATGTGCAGAATCATTCAGTATTTAGAATATGTATTTTCTCAAAACATTAACTACAAAAATTAGTGGTATGACAACAGAAAATTAATAAAAGATGTGTATTTTGAGTATTATTTTTGTGGAACATCTTTCATATTTAATATTTTGTATGATACTTTAAATCATGCAAGTTTCAAGAGAAATTGGTTTGTTAGTCATATTCAAGATATCACTTTGGTGTTTTCTAGAAATGGAGAAATAAGTGTTTCCACGTTTATGTAATAAATGAAAACTAGGCTGGAGAAGTTGGAATGACCAGTAGTTTGCTATGACTTACAGATAATCTATAGAAATACCTCATCTACTATACAGTTTATAGTATGTTCTGTTTGTAACTATGTGACTAGATGTTAAGTTTGGGTAATCTATACATTTAAAGAGAAATATCATACCCTCAATTTCTAATAGTAACATTTTAACACTCACCAGCCACAATTATCTTTTTGAGTTTTTTTACATATGTCGACCTCACAGTTCTTATATAGAAAGATATAGAGAATTTTTTATCAAAATAGAAAAATGCTAGAGCTGTTTTACTTTGGGGTACATTTTAACATTAAGTTCCATGTGTAAGTTAATATTAAACTACTGTTTAATTTCATTCCACAAAAACAACTAAAATTCCAAGACATAGTTTCTCATGAAACAAGGATATAATGATTTAAAGAACAAACCATTGAATCTGATCAACTGTGTGTGGGAAGAATACTATATAGAACTTACTATTTACATGCATTAAAACACAAAATATTTAAATCTCTATAGACAAGACAAGAATCTAAAAGACCAATTAAAAACATTCGTGGCACCTAGAGGGCTGATTACTAATTAGAATAATTTATCTCTTATCTAAATTTCTTTATTGTTTTTGAATTTATTGGTTCT